GTCCCGATGAGAGATTCACATTTGCGGAAAGTTTCAAGAATTTTTCTCTTTCCCACGAGGAAGCTGTCACGTTCGCTTTCACACAGATGAATAAATTGATTTCTAACACAACAAGCAGGGGAGAGATATATAGAATTCGGTGAGCAGTGAGAGATTTTAATCTCGCTTTTGCAAGTAGAGGACTCAAACACAGTTTTTGTGACCATATATAGACAATGGGGTTCGGAAGGAGCGAACATTCTCTCGTCAAAGCGTGTATGATAAAGGATTTCCATATGTCAAGTGTTTCACGCTGCTCCTGAAGGAAGACATGCCCGTTGGTAAGGTTCTGTGCGGACAGAACTATTTAGCCTTCAATTTCACAGCATTGCCAAGAACCACATATAAACAGGTGGGAAACAGTACCAATTGCTCTTGTTTTATTCGAGCCTTTAAAAGTATGAAGAGAATACAATTAGCATGTACTGCATACTTCCCGGGTAAGATGGAAGTTTTCATCCACGATCAGAAAGAAAAGTTCACGTATTTGTATCTGTTTTCATCGATGAGGGTAGACTTACGCGAAAACACGACCATCAGCCTTTTCCTCAATCCTGAGGTCATCCAGACACTGAGCAAAAAGGATGACCCTTGCATCCACGATGATAATCATAGCTACATGAGAGTGAGTTGAAATGATTCACGGCCTTAATGGATGGCTAATATTGATTTGAAGAAAAATTAAAGGATTTTTATGTGCATGATTTTTCAGTGCATGGAGAATTGCTTCTGGATGAGATTCCAGTCAAATCCAAATGTATCCTGCATCATCCCTTCTCTGATGACTGAGGAAGTCAATTTGATGAAACCAGCGTGTGGAAATAGAGAGGACGAACATAACTTCTTGATGCGTCTAGTGGTAGCCCAGAGCATTGATGTTCCTCGAATGCGTCCGACTGATTGTAATTGTCCGAAGAGATGCAACGTGATCGACTATCGCATCTCTGCCGATCCCAATCCGACCTGTCAACTGGAAATGGGGGATGCCAATATCGGAGGCGCAACCATATACATCAACTTCCCATCGAAGCGGGTACTATTCTTCCCTCTTTGTACATTACCTGTTCTCTCCCCTTCTCAGAACGGAAACCAAGGACATTGAAAGCATCTTTGAGTACCACGGCAGATCCCTTATATCCTGGAGAAGGAGAAGGTGACTCTGCAGGATCTGTTGTCCAACATCGGAGGAATCGTCGGTGTCTGCCTCGGAATTTCCCTCATCACCATCTTCGACATCATCGATCAGATTTGCTACAGCGTTCGCAGCAAAATATTATCGAGGCGAAATCGGATCATCAAAGATGACGAGCACTGACTGGGTCAAGGAGTATATTATCGACTTAATGTAACTTTGAAAACCAGATTTGATGCATGGGTCCCTTTAGAAGTTGTATTTTGGCGATCAGTATTTTAGGGATATCTCAATGAATTCAAGAACCGAATTTTTTCCTGTCCCATAATTTATTTGCAATTTCTTATGCAGTGAATATTTAGCGTGTCAATAATAGCATACTCCAGTCCAATAGAGCCCCATCCGATTTCGTTCAGAGGTGAGCATTTTGAAGTATTACGATTCACCAAAATAATAATATTTGCTCACAGATATCCGCTCGCCGAATAGCAGGTTTTTCTTGCCAGAAATTCCTTTCTTGAATATATAGATTTTTGGATCTTCATCAACTATGGGGGGAGAGGGCTGACTGACACTAATTGCTGATTCCAATTCGAAATTCTTAGCAATACTTAGTTTTACTTGTTTTTGGAAAGGAATCGTTGTGCCCTTCATTGTGCCCATTCTTAATAGATAAAGGGCAATTGTAGTGAAGATTTCACTGAGATTTGTATAGGCTACGATTCCCCTTATATAGGAGGCCACTAAGAAAAAGAATTCAGTAAAATAAAAATAAAAATTTTAGAGAAGCACTACTGCGTAGTTATGAATTGTCTTGATCTATTTTCTCACATCATCTGTTCATCCCATAACGTTCATGAGGACAATGGCCCACCCGAGTATAAGCTTGAGAACGCTAATGGTAATAGAGAGAGTGCCCTGGCACCGAAGCCATTCGCGTCCGTCTCATTGCACCTCTTCATTAGATGTGAAACGCCAGCCTCCAAGAGTTCTCTCGAGGAGTCGATGGAGATGATGGTTTGAGATGATGGTCGCTCAGCGCACAATCCGGGGCTGTGCGACGAAAGTGGCAAAAACAAGTTCAACTCAGAATGTCGATCGCTGGAATCATCCGTGTCGTGGGAGACTTCCCTTTGTCATGTCGAGGGATCGTCCTCCTGGGCAACAGTCCAGCGCCTTTTTCGCAGACTGCCTTTTGCTAACGTTCGAGTAGGGGAAGAAACTGTAATGCTGTTACTGGTGTGCTTGGCTCCAGATATTCCTTTAGGATCACGTGGGCAATGTCGTCGCCTAAGATTTACATTGTGCAGATAGCTTCGGCGACAGGATACCTTGTCAAAAGTCATCAGCTGCTGGAACCCTTGATGGCAGGAAACTGAAAATCCAGTGGCTAAAGACACCTACCCCTTCGCTCGACCGAATGCCTTGTCTAGCTCTTTCAATGCTGATTTTTTTTCTCAAGGCAGTACTGCCAATACAAGTATGTTTTGGTGTTTTGTCTGTTTAAAGAAAATGGTACTCATTAGAATTCCTCTCAGCAGTGAATGTCAGGAACTGATGTCAGATAAACGTGTGAACGACTAGGGTTACTAACACTGCACTATGAACTAATGATGGTATTTTCATCCTTGAAGTGGCTGACAGGGTGAAACAAAAGTCAGGAATCCAGAGGAAGTAACATAGGTATCATTACCAACATCCGTCAATAGAATTGCAAGTGCATGGCCATGAGTCACAGTGCATGGCTTACATTTTCAAGGATAGCACCAAACTTCAGTTCATATTCCACAAAACTGTCACATTTCTATGAAATAGGAATCCAGGGATCGGGTCCTCTCTAAAAAGTGACCTTCAGTTATACGCCTAAAACCAGTAGTTTTACACACTTTTCCATATTCATTATTCTTAATTTTACGGAAATTCATGGCTGAATAAAATGTACAGTCGTTACATTGCTCTAAATCTCAAAATACGGAGTACCACGTTTTTTTCTACAAGTAATTAATGTGTTTCCTATCATGTCCACTTCATTGTTATCATCAATAGTCAGACATGTAGTCATGTTTCTTCCTAGTAAGTTCCTAAAATGATGAATTGAGAATGAGTACACGCATGAATGTTCTATGGAAAACATCAAAATAATTTTCCTATTTTCGCCGGAAAAACATTGCTGAATTAAATTATGTGAACTGCAGCTGTTCTTGATGCTCTGAAAATATTTTTTTTCAAAGAGCTAATGTAACTATTTGTTTCACCCTTCCCTCATGGAATTTCGCGATAAGGGTCTATTAGATATGATATCCAACATACCTATAAGCAACTTCATCAACCATCCCTTTGAAGAAAAAAAACCTTGCTTTAAATTAATCTCTGGAAATTTCCCAGCATATTATTATTAAATGGCTGGTTGATGTTCTTGACATGTAAATGATTTCGATACCGTTCCTCACAAGAGGTTGCGGATTAAACTGGAGGCGCATGGGATACAGGGTAGGACAAGTGAGTGGATCAGTAGCTGGCTGGCAGGACGAGAGCAACGGGTGATGATGAATGGGGAAGCGTCGAAGGAGGTCGGAGT